TTATATGTAAACCTGTTACAGAGTTATAACCGAAATACAGAAGATGCGACAACTGAATAAAAAATTAGCTTTCCGTCAATTGCCTCCTAGCTTATATATATATATATTTTTTATAATGTTACCCATAACAAAGTATATGGCCCCAAAAAGCAAATGTTCCTGCGATAATTATTAAGAGATCGAGCCGTGCGAATATCGTGGTTAGATTACGGCCCTTGATCAACAGACAACGAATCAACGACAGAAATAGGCAGAAAGTACTATTCAGGATTAAGCGTGGCCTTGACTCACAGTTTTTTTTGTTACTATGGCTCATTCATGCTTCTTTCAATGAACAAAAAAATATTAGTATAATCTTTACCGGGGGGTCTACTATCTGAGTCAATCTGCCGCACACAAATAGTATTTCGACATAAAATACCCGCTTTTTCTTTAAGCAATCATTCTTTAGACAACTTCAATCTGTTTGTTCATACTGTTGCGCAACGAAATGATGTCTTGGACATTCATAGACGATTCCCCGAATAACACGGCATAAACCATTCTTTTATCACCTCAGATCAAATATTAAATAAAGGTGACATTTAGCGTTACTTGTTCCAGCGTTGTGACAAAATTGCCCAAAAGATATTTTCTCGACGTACCTTCTGCGCCGACCTGCTATCGTTTGTCGACTGATAGGCCGCGGCTGTGTTTGTTGTCTCGGACGATGGTTGTTGATGCATCTTCGGGGAGGAAGATAGGACGAGGTTGTCGTCGATGACGTCAGCGCTGCCACCGGCTCGGACCTCGTATCGGTTCGTTGAGGGCAAACCGTGGGTACCTCCATGAGCGCCGAGAGTACTGCCTAGGGGTAACCGGGGACCGGCCTTGCCATTTTGTTGGTTGCCAGCGTTGCCGTTCACGTCCGACTTGGCGTCCACTACCTGCAAAGCGTCACGAATCATATTGAAATATTCGTAGATAAGCCAGTGTAATATAGCGCATACCTATATAAATGCTAGAATATCATCTTTTTGGCTGAGATAATCGCTGAATCTGTCACGAAAACCCATCATGCTATTCGTTAGAGCTAAAAACAAGGTCGGCTAATTACCTTAGTCAGGGCATTTAGTAATAATGGGATTTGCAATTTTCAATACCATAAGCAAAATCAAATAACTGAAAGCATGAGAAAGTTGGTTGCATACCCTTCTTCGCCGGGGGGAGCATATCGTAGCTGACAGGGAGACGAAGATGAGTCCAAGAATAATTCCGCTGGCCCCCGTCATAGCTAGATAGAGGACGTGCTCTGGATACTGAGTGATCATCGCCGTAGCGCCGATTCCCACCGCAATCAGCACCATACCTAAAAGGAACCGTGGTAACGTCAGTGGCCACCAAGAACGCGGGTTAGATCAATTTTTAAGTTCATACAATCGCATATTTACGAGCGAAAAAAAAAAAAAAAAAAAAAAAAAAAAGATGTGAAGTAATCTCATTATTTGTGAGAGCCTGTGGTATGAGCTCGACATTGTCGGGCACTACTCACATATGCTAATGAATCAAGTGTTATAAGACTTCAACTGTAATCGATTGCAGGTTAATATGAGTGCAGTATGTAGCTCAGAGTATGTGTATATAACTACAACGTTTCTATGTTCGTGCGTCAGAGTATTTCCACGTAACATTTCATTTCTAACTTCCAACTTAAACGAGTCATGTGTACCTCATCACATCATTTCGTAATTTGCCTACCTGAATAGTAAGGCCAAAGATAAAGCTTAGTTAAGCATAGTATTCTACGACATTCCGTATCTAATCGCTACGAAGTGCTAGTCACCGGCACTTTTGCCTTCATACATTCGTTTCGTTAGCTGGAACATGATCCGTCCCCTTTGCCCTTCAGTCAAACGTCAATTCATTAACATGCAACATCATAAAAAGGCAAAAGTTCTAGAATTCGCTACTACTAGCGCTACAACAGCTAGTTCGTCACGACGCCAGCAGCAATGAAGGCCTATGCTGTCCTGCCCTTTCTCGCGCTGCTCCTGTCTTATCTGGCTGTTCGGTTTTTATCCATTTTCCTCACGCGGTCACCCTTCCCCTTTATCATGCATGCATATACTGAAGCTGTGCTTTTTATATCCAGTTATTCCGCATTGTTTCCCGGGCAGCGTCTCTTTCAAATTCTCGCTATTTGACGTACAGACAGGCAGCGTTTGAACTGGCCCAGTGGGGGGCCTAGCCTCTTCCACTACGACCCTTCGGGGCGCCCCATTCGTTCATTTCTTTTTTTCACTCTTAATTTTTCTTGTTGTTGTTGTTCTTCGACTTTTATATGCGCAGCTGAATTTTCCTTCCTTCGGCTCTGGTTATTGCAATTAGATTAACAAAAAGGAAAAGCGATGGAGAGCGCGAAATGGAACGAGGAAATCTCAAGCTTCTCGCTAAAGGCTTTTCCGAACAACAACAGTTCGAGCACAACAATAGGGAGGGACTCATAGTCTAGCAGTAGCAGTAGCTGCTGTTCCTTTTGCTTTAGTTTTTCCAGCGTATTCTCGACACGAAGCACAAGCAGGAAAATGATCAAACGGTTCTGTTTAAGTCCTTCTTTGCGTTTAATTATGAAGTGGCCCCAGGAGCATTAGCAGGTTTGTCCGCAGCTAACGTTACCGCGGTTGTACCCGAGGGCCTGTGACAGGGACCAAGCGACGTTAAAGTACCCGAGGTTTGTGAGCACGGATATGCCGATGGTTCGGGTTCGAGAAACGGAGCAGGCCCTTTTTATTAGATCACCACCCGTTATAAGTTATGCTTCGTGATCCTTAGGTGACCTGTCGACTTCTTTGGATGCTGCGTCCTCCTATGGATCATATGGTATTGGAAAAAAAACTGCTATGCTAGTAATATGCCGTTTATGAGACCTGCATACAACATAGTTTCCTCTTAAAGCGGCTATTAAAACTCCAATAGAAGCGCTTTCTCCCAAACGATTTTTATATTGGAGTCGGTAGCAAGTTGGCATTAGTTTACTAGCACATGCAAGCAGATCGCCCGGAGCAGCGTCCGCCTTTTAGATGCTTGCCCTCATAGATTCAACCTTTTTCCTGTCGAAAAAACAGAAAGCATAAACGAGTCATTGAGTAGGAACGAGAATACGAAGATAAAACAAGAGTGATAATGCGGTGTAGGGATCGAATAATTGGATTTAGAAGAAGATCCTGAAAAGCCCTCCGCGTTTAGCAAAATCCGACCTTCCCCCTCGCTGCTACTGCCGCCGCCGCCGCCGCCGCCATTCGCTACTCTCTATCCTGAATTCTGCCGCTGCCGTTGTTGGAAGGATCAGGTTGTCTGTCTGTTCGTGCCCTAATCTAGCCGCGTTTCTTGGTTGTTTTAATTTAATCTAACCAAGAATTGATGGGGAAGGCAGAGCTCACAGACTATGTGTCTTGGCTCGCGGACAACCACTCACTACGTTCATGAAGTTTGTCGAGGCGGTGGCTAAACAAGCTTATTTATGTCTGTATATGAAATGAAAAAGGAATAGTAAATGGAAAGAGCGCGCAAAGGAGGTGAACAGTAAGCAACAATTTTCATTGGTTTTCTCGATGAGTTTAATTACATGGCAGTATCAGATATAGGAGACTACTGAAGTTTGGCGTGAACTCGCTGTCGTCTATACGTCGGCGTTTGTGAAATTACATCAATTAGAAATAATGTATTAGTGATAATAGGCTTTTTCATTACTACTATATGTGTTGACTATTACATTTAAGTCTTATGAGGTTCTAGTGAAGGCTATAAAATGTATGAAAATCACCGTTCAGATGAAGTTGGTTTGGGCCGGAGCCTTTACGAGCGGTTAGAGGTTCGCCGGCCAAAAAGCGCTTTGAGTGGTCTAATTTTTACAAAAAACTTGCTACACATTGGATTGAATCAATTTAGGTCCATTAGTTCATGCTTCCAGGAAGGCCTTGTTACGCCTCTCCTTATCCTAGGAAACATGAATTTAATTTAGTCGTTAGAGTGTGGCATAGTTTCTGAGCCACTTAGAAGAACCCCGAAGCCCAACTTAGACAGCTGAGATTCCCTCGTTCGCAGCAAGCAAATTTTATATTTAAAACTACTCCATGTTTAGACAATTATTGGTTATTTACCTTACAAAATTAAATAGTAGATAACATCTAGTGGTAGCTAGATGTTGACTCGTAATGTCCTGTGGGCAAGCAGTTCACAGAACTATAATTGAAGATTATACAGCTCGTTGAGCCGCTTTTGAAATGCCTTACAAACAGATACATAGATATATACCCGCTTTATATTATATAAATGTATGTTTTTTTTCGAGAGTATGCAATATGGGATCATCTTCAAGTAGAACCTACACGTCAGTAAAATAATTATGTAAGGCAATCTATAATTAACACGTCACTCACCGACAACGTAAAAGAAGACTATACAACAGTTGACGCATGCCCCCTCACTCTCATACGTCACAACGGCTTGGTCGGCGTTATACTGCGGCTTGTGCTTGATGGGCGACGGTGAGCTGAGTGAGATCGCTGAACTCCCGTTCGACAACGTCGTCTGTGAATCCGCTGCTTCGGCCATTCTGCCTACTCCCGTTATGGGAACGGCCCCGCCGGTCAATTCTAGAGTCCCGCCACCGCCGCCTTGTTCCACCGACCCTATATCAAAACAAAAGAAAACCATCTACAATTAACACAAACACGCAACGTTGTGCCATCACGAAGACATTACCTACGCCAGCTGCTCGACAACATACCGAAATGGATACGATCACTTTGTCCAATATTAGCTGGTATCATATTTTGTATCATTGAATTGTTGCCACGATGAACCCGCTGACCTATTGTTCTCTTTCTTTTTCTTTGGTTTATTTTTGCTAGGTCAATTCACATTGGGACATACTGGGACAACAAGGTTCTTGGGGCGTCATAATGGTTCCGAGTTATGCCAGCAGTGGTAACTTTAGAGCACAGCAATAAATTATCTAAGTTTCGAAAGTGTAAATCGAAATATGCTCTCCTGTCCTGACTATTTTCTATGTATTGTTACAGAACAACTGTTTTTTTCATTTGAAAATGCCCATTTGTCGAATTGAACCACCCCTGTAGCAAATAGTCCTTTCGAAAGTTTTCTAAAGGGTTTTGAGTTGAGCTGGCCGCGCATTGATTCCTATAATTAATACCGCTATTGACTCCAACCCTCTAGCATTGACTAGACGGAAAGGCGTCTTCTATTAGCTTACAGAACATCATCCGCCATATTTCCTACGTTTACTGCAGTCGAGATGTAACTGCGCGCTACACGGCGTGTTTATGCTCGAAAAGGAAAGACAAATGACATGACTACTAATCTATGACACTTTAATTAAGGACGCTTTTATGTAAAAGTGGCCTATTTTATGGAATAACGATGGCGTTTTGGCAACGTGATAACGTTTATCGAACTTCTATTCGATTCATTCACGACTGGCCTTATAAGTTGATCCTTTTCATGATTCGATCGTATGCTATAATGGTCTGTACAGTACGGCGCGCTCAGACCTTCCATTTCCTCTACATGCCCTTGTGTGCATAGTTGTAGCTTGCTGCTTTTTTTTGTTTTCTGGTAACATATATTTCCCTTATCTTTCGCTAGAAAAATGAAGTCTATTCTAGACGATTCACTTTACTATAGTTTTATTCATTGAGCTCAGGAAGCCCAGTTACTGGCCTTAGAGGTTAAAATAGTAGCGTGGCTTCCCATAAGACTCTGGCAATTTTATAGTGCTCGTTTGGTTGTTTTACTTGCTGTTCGCATTACCTATTAGCTGGATCCATCTAGCCATCCTGACAGAAACTAACTCCTTGAGCCTATTGTCGAAGAGATCAGGCTAGTGGGCTGGTCCATTCCCCTGCTGCCATATGGCTGCCCGGAATCTGCCAATATTTTCGATTTACATGACCTATGACTTGGACGGTACTCAGATGCGCGGGAGTCCGGCGACTCGCAGAATGCCGGCGACCATCCAACAGGGTTGCAATAATATAATAATGTAATTAATGTATTCCCAGAAGTTAGCCAGCAGTAGCAGCGTTGCTAACGTTGTCGCCGTTGTCGGGCGATAGCTGGACGCTGCCTGGCTCCTTGGCTGGTGATTCGCTGCTCGCTGGGGGTAGTCGCTAGGGTTGTGCTGGGAGTTAGCATCGAACGACGGTGATGGTAGCGCTAGTCGCAGTCGCCAGCAGTCCCGTCGCCAGAGCGGCCGCCATAACTTCAGTAGGCATCCCGGAGAAAAAGAATATGTAAGATAAATATGTTCGCATAGTGAGCCCTAGAAGAAGACCGATGGGTCTAGAATTCGATCCGGAAACCTTTGGTCCCACATAGTTCGGCTATCCCTCGCGTTGTCCTCTGCCTCTTACGTCACCAACGCTACCTCTACCATCATTACTAATGCTGCTGCTGCTGTTGCATTTCCTAGGGTATACAAGCTCATAGACTGTTGAGTTATAGAGCGCGCTGTCACGGCGCAGAACAGGCAGACAGACAGTGGTAACTGGCGCCAATGGTGGCGAACAGTCAGGAACGAGGGGCGGCACAGGGAGACGTTCGAATGGAGGAGTCAGCTTCAGTGAAAGCTCAACTCACCGCACGACATCTCACGACAATACTTCGTCCTGGTCGGTCAAAAGCTTTGATGGTGATTGGGTCCGCTGCCTAGTATTGCGAGCTAGAAGTAAACTACTACTACATAGCCAGCTAGCGATGTACCTAAATTCAATGCAATGTTATCCTGTTTGTCCTATCATGTCCTAAGCCGCTCCCTCGGGCTGCTCGACAAGCGGCTTCAGCAAAGTATCCTTCAGCCCATTTCGGTGCGTCCTATATCGTGCATTTCGCAGTCAACAGCTTCATAGTTAATGGAGTTGAATGAACAAAAATCGTCTCCTCTGCCCCGAAGAACGAAAAAACTGGTTACTGCTTCCGCCAAATGCCGAACTCAGCTCGGAATTGCTCTCTCTGACCACGACCCCGCACGATCTCCAGTTGTTTTTCGCTGCCAGTTTCCCTTCGCATTGGTTCCTTCGTTTCTTTCCCCAGTCCCCGTATATCTGTCTGTCTCTTGATCGAGTGACTTTACAAACTGCGCTGTCCCCTCCCTGTTCAGGCAGTCAGCCGGCCAACCAAAATCCCAATCTAACGAAACCCGTCCATCGCGTTCGACCTTTCTACGCAGTAAAATGACAGTCATCGGCTCAAAGGCAGACTCACTACCGGTTTGCTTTTTCTCCACGTTGATAGTTCTCGACCAACCTATCGTCCTTACATCCGTCTCTCCAACTGCCGTCTTTTCTTTATCTTTTCGATCACTTTGTCTCTTTTGTTGCTTGCGCTTTGCGAAGCCAGCCCCAATACGCCTGCGTACCGAGAAGCGGGCCAGGCTGCTGCTGCTACTACTGCAGCCGTTGCTTCTAGCTACGTTTCAAAGGGACCTGTCCACTTTGTCCACTCGGCTCACTGCTAACACCCCCGGTTTCTTTCCTTTTAGCATTGCTTCTAATATGGCGTATATATTTCGCATCTATATTCTTTTGAAGCTGTAGCGACTGGGGGGCATGTGGGTAGGTGCTGCGATGCTTTTGCCAGTTGGCTGCCTCTAGCGCTTGTGAGTACGGCCAAGCCAGGAGGTTGGGCGACCGAGAACAGACGCGGTGTGTCGCTTGAGGTTGTATCCTGTGTAGAGCTGATGCTCAAAAAGGTCCTTCTATTCGACACCGCCTGCTGGCCGCATCAGCTGGTGGCGCTAGCTCAGCAGCCGCCCATCGCCAATCATCCTTATCTTGAGGCTTCCCGCCTCATTGCATCGAAAATATCGATGGCGCGGACACAATTCCTCGCTTTTGCTCCTCCATCAGAGTTTTCTGTCTGTTTCATTCCATGATGTCCCATTCGGTTGCTTTTCTTCTGCCTTCCTTCTGCTGCTTAACCAGTCAGTTTTTTCCCTCTCGCTCTTTTTTTCTGCTGCCCTTCGTAACTTTATACAAACACTTTGCCAGATCGCTCGATGTTCTTTCGCCAACCTACCTATACAGCAGACGAAAGCAGCAGCAGCCGTAGCAACTGCGCGATAAGACAAATTATAAAACGGGAAAAAAGCCAGTTAGTTTCGTCGGGCACCAGCTCGGATAGGTAGAACTGGTAAAGATGTTGTGGTGCAGCTGTCCAGCGCCTGCTTGCCCGTACGCTAGTTAAGCAGAACTGTTAAGTTGTAAATTCACTCCCCCTTGTATGTATATCTCTGACATCCCCCGGCACTGTTGCGACAGCAAAAGTGGCGGATCGACTTATCCCATGATAGTCCAATGATAAAAGCATGACCACTGTTTGATATAGTACTACCATCGCACTCAGTATATATATATCAACGGCAATTGCAACCCCATTTTCTACTGGGGTCGATGAATAAGTTGTCGCTATCGGTAAAAAGCGTCGAGACGTCACGAAATAAAGTGTAGCCGGGTGCCTTGTCGGGGGCTTGCAGATAATAGAAGCAGAAAGGAGTTCGGAAAAGGCTGCGTCGTTCTCGCTGCCTGTATTAGCGATGACGAACAGTGAAGACGCTGCAATAGTGGTCGACGAAGGGACGACTTTCCGCCGAGAGCACCACCCGAAGGAACGACTTGTCGGGTCAACACAGTATGGGCGGGAATGAAAATAACTCCGATGGAGGCGGAATGCAAACATAACAACGAGACCAATCGCAGAAACACGTCGGCCACTGCTAGACGAGAGTGTGGTCACACGTCTTAGGCGGTAGTGGAGGTTTTCTCAATGGGCGGGGGATTGTTGGGGTCAGGGGTAGTTGTCAGCACTCACATGCGTGTAAATAGTAAATTTATAAGGTAGATCTACGTTAGCTGTACTTGCTGAGGCTGCTTTGGCATCAATGTGTCATATACGATTTTGCTGACATCAGTGCGTATAGCAGCTCAGCTCACGCATAGCAAGATTACGGCCTCACTTGACGTTTTTATGTGACGACAATAACGGCCACTTCTAAGAGCTGAATTTGATTGGTTTTGGCAACAGTTTAAAGTGCGGTTCGTTATTATGAGGTTGTCTATACGATGATAAATGGATTAAGCTTTATGATGCTATGTATAGGTAGATTATAGTTTTATGATAATGGATAAATTATATAACAGTACGACACTAGTGCATTCGGCACTAGTATCTGAATTGATATACTAGAATGATTCCTGAAACAACTTTTTTGAGGTTGCACATCAGAGGGACCTATCGCTTAATTTCCCTGCTAGAAATTCTGGTCAGAATCTTGTTAGATCTTTGGACAACGATGTAGTGAAAAGCACCATTGAGAGTGTCGCTCATATTCCACTTATATGTTCCACAATATTGCTTTACTATTTCTGATCTATTCATTTTCTACAGAATGGCTGGCCAGAGAGTTTTTAGAGTACAACTTTCGTCTGCCGACAAAGCTCTGCGTCGGGTGGTTTCTGCGAACAAAAAATCTGAAGCTAGATTTTGGAAAGCGACGATGAAAATTTGATCTGTAGCACCGGTGACTTGGTACCGTGCGTGGCTTACTTTGTCTTCGTTCAATTACATGGTATATGTACAGCTCTCATGACGGCATCCGTGGCCGTTCGGGCTA